ATCCATTTTATTCTTAACGAGTGAATTGTGGGATCAATAAAGTTTATTCTATTCTATTCTATTATTGAGCCGAGAACCTCTCACACCAGTGGTGTTCTGCTGCTAAATATGTGTTTAATGAGTGGAGGACCCAGGGAGGTGTGGCAGCTTTAGTATTTTAGTCAAATGCAAGACAACCACTTTATTAATTTTTTTCCATTTTTTAAAAATCTTCATAGTATATTTATAGCTATACTATGTTGAAATGTTGTGAAGTGGCATGAAAAATGAAAAAGTGGCATGTTAGGCCAACTTGTTTTCCAAATGAGCAGTTTTGACTCTTTGCTTGATTTTGAAGTGTTTTCTTTGTGAAAGGTTTGCTGGGTTTACTGTAGTAATTTATCCCGGGATGCACCAGAAGTGCTACATACTGGTGACTTGTTTGTCTGGGAATTCTGGTGAAGTTAGAATTCTGGGAGTTCTGGTATTACTGGTGAATAATGGATTATAAATGTTGAAGATCTGAGCCACTTTAAGATGGCAGAGATAAGCTCAGACTAGCCATCAGCTCATCTGCTCTGTTGGATGCAAACTGTATTTCTCAGTTTTTTCTAACTCACAAACACATTTTCCATGCTTTAGTATTTCATTAGCTTTAGATAAAAATGAAAATACTCAGAAAGAAACTGGACTGATAGTTTGTTGTGAATCAGCCAACATGCTTTGTAACACTTTGGAAAGTCTTCAGAAACTTAAGAGAGCTACTGATCAATGCGGGAAAGTCAGATAAAATATAAAAGTATTAAGGACGTAAGCTTTTTGCACATTTCTGTACATTCGATAAATTCATGTGCTGCTCTTTGGACACAGTAAATATCTTGGAGGTATAATTTATTTTTGATTTTAACTGTCCAGTTCCACCTGAAGAAAACCAGAGTAGAGACTGACATTTTAACGAAAACACCAAAGCAGCTGCGATGGACATTGCCATTTTTGATCAGACAAACTGACAACAGGGATGGGTTTGGTTGGGTCTTTGGACCTGAGTCGTCATAACAGTTTTTACAGTTTTTTTCGATAGCTAAAACGCGTTTTTCAAAACTGCACACACAAAACCCCAAACATAACACACAAATTCTTAAACCGTGGCTTCCCTTTGCAACCAAAACCTGCCACCACATTAGTGGGCCATTCCCACCTGTACCGGGTCGGCCCGGGCCGGGTAGCCCCAGTCGGCCCCAGCTTGGCCCGGTTGATTCCACACATCCTTGCCTTAAGCCCATGTGGGCTGATTCTACCCACCAATCAGAGGCTTGCTCTAATGGAAGGTGTGAATTTGCTGTCAGCAGTGGGCGTGTTGGCCCTGGTCGGCCTGAAGCAGTACCCCTCGGGAAGAGGGCCGAGAATGAACCTTGGTTGGCCCGGGAAAATTCCAGGCCACCCAGATATGTAAACAACCTACGCTACCCGGCCCGGGCCGACCCGGTACAGGTGGGAATGGGGCTATAGTAACATGTTCCCCAAATGGAACACATGTTTTCATTTGGTAAACACAGCCACATTTTCACGTGACACACACATACCATTCATTTCTTAAACACAAGTAGCCTTTGGGTGAACACTACCAAGCATGGAAAGAACACTGAAGAGCAAAACTGAAAACACAATTGTCTAAATGGAACACGATGAATTACACACTGAATGTACGACAGTGCCCACTTTTCACTGAGACAAACATTAGACGTCACACAAATTTTGAGACAAAACATTTTATTTTTACAGTTACCCCCCCCCCTCTCCCATTCAAGCATAATCATGGGGCATCATGCCTCTGGTCTCTGTCTGGCCAGAGGGCCTCATCAAAATCCTCCTGGTCCAAACAGCGCTGGAAGTACCGCCTCGAGTGCCTCATGAAGCCCTGACAGGCCTCAAAGGCCACATCTCTACAAGCCTCCTCCATGGCTTGAAGCAGTGGGACCTGGCTCTGTGGATTCCTTTCGTACACCTTCCACCTCCAGGTGGAGAAAAACTCCTCAGTGGGATTGAGGAAGGGGGAAGGTATAAAACAGAAAACCGTGGGTGGTCCTGAAACCAGTCATGCACCTGGGTAGCCTTGTGGAAACTTACTTTTATGCTGCAGTCCCTGATTGCAGATTGCTCACCAGACCCGAAAGTTTAGAGATTTGAAATATTTGTGTGTTGTTGATTGAAGCTTTGAGAATTTATGTGAGAAGTGTGTGTAAACCTGAAAATTGTGTGCTGTGTTTTGACAGCAAGGTAATGTGAAATTGACATCAGAGTGTAAAGGAGGAAAATCAGAGTTCTAATATGATTAGGAAATCTTAAGTAGTGATAAACTGAGTCAAGCGATTGGGAACAGAAGTAGAGGTTGTGAAAATTGTGCCTCATTTTTGCTTTTTGAGTTTTAGCAATAGAATAAAACTGTAATTTTCAAGCTGGTTTTCATACACACAAATAATCATGTGGTCAGTTAAGAAAAAGTGTGGGTCTGACTGAAGTTCAGATTTAGATTTTATGGCATCTGAAAAATAAAGGTTCACAGAAAATACACGTTGAAATGTTGGTGGATGTAAAACCATAGGTCACCTGTTTTAGTGGGCAGCACTTTGGGACACTTTGACTGGTGGAGTGAAGGTGCTCAGCTCTATAGATAAATAACTGGTAATAATGGTGAGGTCTAGCCTTCAATCAAGGGTAATTGTGGAAGTGGTATTGCTACTAGTAACTGTGGCTTACACAGCAAATACAAATACTAGAGACACAAAACTCAGCCAGCTTTTTCCTGCCCTCTGCTTTCCAAAGTTTATTCTGTTCAGCTCTGTGTCGGTCAGATGTGAAATGAACACAGTGAGCTGTGGAAACACGCCTCCCTGGTTACACATCACACAGAAATACGGCAGCAACGTGCTCAGAAAAATGGATTTTCCTGCCTTTTCTCATTCTATCTATCAATCTAAATCTGGTTTTATCCCTGCACCAAAATATTTTAAACATGATGCTGGATAGATTTGGTGTATAACTGAATTAAGTGTTCAGAGAAGAAAGGGCATATATAGGTTTCAGTAAAGACTATTAAAAATGCAAATCTTTAATAAGTTATACCAAGGCTATGGAAAGTGTGAGTGAAAAATGCAGATCTAATCATTTTAAATGTCATGGTGAGAAATGAAATCGCTTATTTTTATTAGCCTTTTGTATTTTAAACCTTTTCTCTTTTAACAATCTAACCCCCTGGATGCAGGCGTTGCAGAGTTGCACCGTTAAAACCTACCTACCTGGTTACTCCACATACGTATTTCATGAGCATTTTTTAACTCAGAAGTACTCCTGAAGGACTTAGTTGTTCGTCCTTTTATCAAAACTTATGTTGAGCCTGAGAGGGTTGAAAGTGATGGGTGTTGGTGTGCGTTACCTGATGTTTATTTCAGGATGGCATGATCGTGTACTGTTTCTACACACAAACACATATTCTACATATCTAACAGGAGCCTTTCCTTATATTCAATAACTGATTTGCAAACTTGATTGTTTTTCTTTAATAGGAAAACTAAGAGCATAATTTTTAATCCTGGGTAGCTAACTTTATTACTTTCATTCAATTTCGAAATTATATTTTTGTGGAGGATGTCTCAGATTGTTCTTGATTATGAAATTAGATCATTGTGGATTTTCTCTGCAATGTTTGTGCTGTTTTAATAAATTATACTTCAAACGGTTGTCCTAATTCAGGACATTATGGTTGGATCTTTTGGTATAATTTTGTTTTGTACCTTTTGAAGACGTTCAACTCTGTTTGTTTGGCCCATTAGAAGTTATACAGACCTATTCCAATGTTTCCAATGTTAAGTTTTTTAAAAGTTAACTGCTTGACATTAGAGGTTCCATTTAAAAGTACCTTTTAAATCAAAATTGAAATATTTCATGGATTAATCAGCATCTGAATAAACGTCTCTTCTGCTGCACCTTCTGCACGCTTACTGGTCACCCATTATCTTTGCATTTTATCTGATTCTTAAATCTGAACTTAATTTGATCCAAATGTATTTTTATATTTTAATTATGCAGTCACATTGATTTTCCTGTTCTTGCTCCTGGAAAGCACAAGGATTTGCTTTTGGTAATAAAATGTTAAGCCATCTTGCCTTTCATGAGGGACACCACAGCATCCAGTGTTGACCCAAGGATTGTGATTACAATTCCTTCCACGCTTCCCATTGTAGTTAGTCTTTAACAGTATCCGAGAACTACACAGAAGTGAGAGCTGGATGTGACGAGCTGTAAATGGTGACTTCTCTGCAGGAAGTAAGTGTTGACAGATTTGACTGCTCTCAGTCCATCAGGGATTGATACAGACCCTCAGATGTGATAACACCTGACAGCTGTCATAAAGAGGAGAGGTGGGGATGTGGTAATAGGTGCTTAAAGCTGATAAGACTACTTTAACTGAGCCAATAAAAGGCTCGCTGATGCTCATCCTGAAACAGACGCGTAATGTAACACGACAGAGAGAATTACTCTGACAATCCTGTTTATGTGTACTTTACGTGTTTTCTCTTTATGTTGTACAGTTTTTTTTATATATATATATATATATAAGTAAAAGCTTTGCAGTGTCACAAAGTCAACAAGAAATATGATGTAGTGACTCAGACTATCTGGTTGCTCATTTATGGTTTTTTATTTTGGGCTACTATCGCCATAATCCACACGTTACAAACTCAACTTTTCACCAGAATCGCTTGTAACGCAGCATTTCCGAGTTTACCAAAACTCTGAAAATCAAATCAACTTCTCCCACCTGCTAAACTCTCCTTCAAAATAAAACATCATCCCCGAACATTAACTATTCAAAGCGAGGTCTTTTGGCCGAAGGAGCTGTCTTTACCCGTTTCCTGATCACATGGGGGAGGTCTCTCCACACAAGCGGGATAAACAGAAAAAAGCAAACTCATTCCAGGAACTCAATTACAGCAAATCTGTATGCACCTGTGTATCACCAGGGCCGTAGCATGGGGTGATGAGGACTCCCTCGGCTGACATTAGTGCAGATGACTAGTGATGGCCACAGCATCACCTGAACAGTAAGTTATAAAGGGTCATGGCTGGTGTTTACTTAATTAAGCCTGACATTACTCTTTTCTGCAGAGTGTCAGATACGTCTGATGTTCTGTGTTATTCTAAATGTCTTTGATGTTTAAAATTCCTGAAAACAACAAACCACGATGGCCTGCTGTGACATTTCAGGTTCCTTTTGCTCCATCTGTAGTTCCTATGAGGCAAACCTCAATATTATCAACACTATTAGAGTTGAATGTTCAGATGAGTGACATGCAACTCCCTTCAGGAATTTAACAGTACTCACATTTTAGAAAAACATCACATCAGCCAATTTAAGCATAACCTCTCACACACAGGTTAGATCTTGTTCATTTTGGCCAAAACATTGTGTTTTTTACACGTTTAATCTAGAAGCCTTTCCCCCTCAAACAGATCGTTGGATGACATAATAAACACAGGACAACAACAAGACCAAGAGGAGCAGCAGGAATTCTTCAGCTTGTTGGAGACTGTTGTTCTCACCGTCCTCCTCTCCATCATCATCATCATAACAGTGTTCGGCAACCTGCTGGTTATGGTGGCTCTGTGTAAGGACAGGCACCTGAGGTATGTGTTATTTTGTTTTTGTTCTGCCAGTTTGGTTGTTGGTCCAATCTGGGCTAAAGTCCACACATTCATACTCATTTACAGCCAGATGAATCCCAACCACTCTTACACCAAATTTATGTTTCTAGTAATATAAAAATAAATATGATCATGAATTAATAGGATATAGTATTGTGCATTGAGCAGCATTTTTCAATGAAGTCACTGATTTGAAATTTTACTATAATAATCTTCAATTTGAAAAACTTGAAAACCATCCTGCTGTTTGTCTCGCCAAACTGCCACACTTCCCTGGGTCCTCCATTTGTTACATACTCAATTATATCAGAGAAGGGGAAACAGCTGGCTGCTACCACTTTAGGACAAGCTACCAGAGCCATTTGAAGTCACGGACAACAAAGACGTTTGGACCTAGAAAACAGCAACTGGTGTTTTGCGCTCTCGTTTCCTCTGGTAATGTTGGTTTCCAGCAGAAGCGTCTCAGGGAAGATCCCCGAGGGGAGGTGTGAGTGTTCCAGGACCGTGTTTGGGTTCAAAACTTAGCTTGTTCTGTAGATTCGCTGAAGCAGCTTTAAGTCTTCACTATAAATTAGGTTCCATGTGGCAATTATTTCACTAAGTTTCAAATGAAAATGTATGACACCGCTAATGAATGCTGTAGTCAGATTTACAGGTAAAAGGCAAAATCTTCCCTAATGTTCAAATAGGAAAATAAATGTGGCAGATAGCCTACCAGCACAACGGTTCCAAGTGAGCTATGAAGAATCCAAATTAGGTTTTTCCTTTAGAATATTTAGCTCCTTGCAGACTGTTTCCACAAATTTGCATCAAACCACTTCTGGCTTTACAGCGTCCAGATATTGTTATGATTTGTATTTTAAACATAAACCTGGCATATCCAGACCCATACATGTCTGCTGCGCTCTGGGCGAGTGTCTACAGGTGGCAAGGGCCAATTTTATCTCTGTGTTACTGTTATATTATAATGTGATTACATAATAAAAAAGAGAAAAATATATAGTTGTTATATTAACAATGGCCAATAACTATTTTAATTAAAATGTTCAAACTTCTAATTGTAAATCTTTATGTGAAACTTTAAAAAACTGTTAAATGTCAAAACACTGAGATAACAATTAGAACTTGGAACCCAGGACAAAATCAAACTTTTTCTAAAAACAAAACAAAATCATAGTAACATAAAAAATAATTTATATTGGATGTATATTGAATTTTGTTTTCCTTTTTTTTTTCTTTTAGAAAGAAGAAAACCAACTACTTCATTGTGTCGCTGGCATTTGCTGATTTACTGGTTGCACTGGTTGTGATGCCCTTTGCTGCAATCGAGTTGACCACTGGCCAGTGGCTCTATGGAGAAATCTTCTGCTTGGTGCGAACATCCCTGGATGTTTTATTGACCACGGCATCCATTCTGCATCTTTGCTGCATTGCACTGGACAGGTTTGTGTATGAGATTAGGACAACTTTACCCCATTAAGAAGAACTCTTGACTTTATTGTAAAAAATAAGCATGTTAGCATGTCAGTTACCTCTGCTGTAGTGGCGAAACTTGAAAATTTTGAATATCATGCAAAGGTTAATTTATTTCAGTAATCCAACTTAGATAGTGCAACTAATGCATCAGATAGACTCATTACATGCAAAGCCAGATACTCCAAGCCTTAATTGGTTATATATGTGATGATTATGGCTGATATCTTATGAAAACTCTAAGTTCTAAATCTCAGACAATTAGAATATTGTAAGAATGTTCAATATTCTAGGATCAAAGTGTCACACTCTAATTAGCTCATTCATCCAAAACACCTGCAAATGGTTCCCGAGCCTTTAGATAGTAAATGGTAAATGGCCTGTATTTGATATAGCGCCTTCTAGAGTCCTGGAAACCCCCAAGGCGCTTTACAAAACAAACAATCATTCACACACACATTTACATGCTGGTGGTGATGAGCTACGATGTAGCCACAGCTGCCCTGGGGCGCACTAACAGAGGCGAGGCTGCCGAGCACTGGCACTACCGGTCCCTCCGACCACCCCCAGCAGGCAAGCGGGGTTAAGTGTCTTGCCCAATGACAGCGATAAACTGAGTGGGGCTCGAACCTGCAATCTTCCGATTACAGGGCGAGCATCTAACTCCTGTGCCACCGTCACCCCAGTCTCTGTCTAAGTTGATTCACTTTTGCATCTTATTCTAATTTTCTTAGTTTCACCTGTATTTGAAAATAGAATTTACTGTGTGTGTTATTCCAGATATTATGCTATCTGCTGCCAGCCTCTAGTCTACAGACTCAAGATGACCCCAGTGAGAGTGGCGCTAATGCTCGGCGGCTGCTGGATCATCCCCACATTCATCTCCTTCCTACCCGTCATGCAAAGCTGGAATGCCATCGGGATCGAGGACATTGTGAGTCCTCAGTAGCTAAGATAAGAAACTGTGGAAGGGGAAAAAGGTGATACAGTAGTTAGTTTGTAAATGCTGGTTTTAATAATATTCTATATTGTTTTTCGGGGATGCAACAACAAAATCCTTGACAACAATCCCTTGAACAATCACATAGTAATGTGATCACAAAATAATTTGAATCCCTGTGGAGTCTTTTTGGTCACTAGCAATGAAAACAACTAAAAAAATGTTCTTTTTTTGTGTGGGTAAGTTTTGCTGTCAAAGCTATATGTAGACGTTGGTAGATTAACTCATTCATGCACATTTTGTGAGGTTATGGGCTGTTTCTTCTCTTGTTTTAATTCAAACAGCATCCAGGCAAAATTTGATCACTGACTTCATTTTATACCACCTGCAGAACTGCTGGCATAGGTTTTAGATTTTACTTTATTTAATGGCGGTGGTCTTAATTTCAACCATGTAACAAAATATTTCTATCTCTTTTTGACTTTTTTAAAGTGTTTGTTTTGTTTATTTTTGAAAAGGTAAGCAGAAATTGCAGATTCAGAATAATTATCTCAAAATCTCATTATAGATCTTAAAGAAGAAAAATGCATCGATGTTAGCACAATGTGCCTTATTGTTATCTTGCTGCACCAAAGCCCAACTGCTAAGATTAGATAAGGCTCCCCGTTTTTGCTTCAGGTGCTCCTCCACCTGTGGGTTTTTAATTTACTCTGGTTTCACCTCAGGATAAAGTTTAAGGGCAGCTTGCCAGACAGACTAAACTTCTTTTAGTTGAAAAGGATATTGCTAAGTACTTATTTATTATAGCATTTAGGGTAATAACTCTTTCTTTGGGATGTCTTAGGACAAAAATTGGAAGCAGAGAAAAACAGCTAGACTTTAAAGTTCCATTGTTTATTCTAAGCTAAGCGAATCCTCTCCGTACACCACACCTATGCTGTGTCCTTTCTTTTTGCAGATTGAAGAGAGGCGAGCCTTAATGGGAGGCTCCAATGACACCAGCTGTGTGTTTCTGGTGAACTGGCCTTATGCCCTTATCTGTTCCGTTGTGGCCTTCTATGTCCCGTTGGCTCTCATGGTCCTGGCCTATCAGCGTATCTACGTCACCGCCATGACTCACGTAAGGCAGATAGAGACGCTTCAGCGGGCAGGTTCTGCTCCAGTCACAGGGACCGACCCAGTTATCACTCTGAGATCCTCCACTTCCTCAGATCCACTGGAGCATTACCGTCCGAGGACAACAATGGGCTCATCTTCATCAGAGCATCCTCCTGTAGCAAACAGTCGCATGCGCATTGAGACTAAGGCGGCAAAGACTCTGGCAGTCATAATGGGCTGTTTCTGCCTGTGTTGGGCACCATTTTTCATCACCAATGTGGTGGACCCTTTTATTCACTACTCAGTGCCTTGGCAGCTGTGGACAGCCTGGCTATGGCTCGGGTACATTAACTCAGGGTTGAACCCCTTCCTGTACGCCTTCCTAAACCGGGCATTTCGAAGAGCCTTTCTAGTGATTCTCTGTTGTGGAGATGAACGGTACACTCGACAGGGCAGCTGGTCCTGTGGATACACCAACAGACCATACTCGGCTCCATCAGTCAATGGGACTTCCATGGCTTTAAGGTAAACACACACACATTTACAGCTTCTCTGATTTTATTTTTTCTGACAATTAAACCAGAGCGCCAAACCAGCCTGCTGACAATCGTCACTGCACCTTAATTTCATTGTGATGAACAGTGAATGTATGTGTGAGTGTGAAGGTGTAAATGGGCTTGTTAGAGTGAGCATCTGCATGTGGGTGTCTTTCTGTTGGAAGAAATCCAGGCCTCTGGCACAAAGAAAAGATCGTTTGTTTTGGCTCTTCAACTGACAAAGATCTACATACCTCCCTGACTTTATATCTGCAGACGATGACTCAAAGTTTGGATTTTCACGTCACAAGATTCAGTCGTATATAAGAATAGCAACAAGAATTTAAAGCTCATTCAGTTTGTAGAACCAAGAGTATTCATTATGAGTGACTGTCAGCTACTGGCAAACCAACCTGCCTAGTATTTGTAAAAGTGGCTGATCTAAACCACATTCTCTGTTTTATGAGGTCAATTGCAGACCATTTTTAATCAGAGCGTATCCAAGAGTTGTTCAATTGTAGATGTACAAACATTGACTTCTTCCTGAAAGATCCATCAAGCTGTTCATGTCATATTTAGCTAACAGGGTTGACTACAACGGTCAATGGTTGACCTCAGGGTACAGATTATACAGAGGCATCCAGGGGAGCCCTGTGAGACGTAGCATGTCAAGCACGAATAAGAGGCAGAAAGTACCAGAGAAAATGAGCAGACACGAACGATCGTGTGTTGATTCTATTTTTTGGCTGTGCGACTTTGAGAGTGATATGTGGCTGTGTGCAGGACGCAGCTGCCTGGAGCGCAGGGAACAACTAGACTTCTCTGTGCCCAAAAGAAGTCCCAATACACGCTTAGAGTCCGTATACATCATTTAACATGGGAAGAAACTGGATCTTTTTGGGCTCCCTCTAGATGTTAAGTTAGGGGCCTCCAGGGAAGCCCATCACCCTTTCAGGGGAGCCAGGCTCCCCTCAGCTCCCCCGTAATTCAAACCCTGGTTGAGCTAATGAAACAAAAAATATTCATTAGCAATTTGCTTTTCAAGTCCATGTTAGTTTATTCTTGAGTGCTAAAAACCAAATTTGAGCTCAAAAGCACTAACTTTATATATTTTTGGTTCTGCATGGGTTGAATACCCATAATCCTTCTCTCTGCAGCAGGGTAGGTTGACTCAGACCACAGCTTCTTGCAGCCTTGGCCCAAAGTTTGTGTGCTTTTTTTACTTTAAGCTCTTTTGAGCGAGTAAAAACCAGTCTGATGTTTCCTTGTGTCCTGTCCCTTTGCCTCTAGTTCTGTTTTATTGGGTCTCCTCGCTGTATCTACCAAGACTTGTGTCAATCTTTCTAATTCTTAAACTCCTTTTAAACTTTTTTGTAATTTTCAGTCTTATATTGTAAAACACTTTGAATATCATCTTTTCCAGATTGGAGCAGAAGTTATGACATAAAAAAGTCAAAAGCTTAAAATGTTGCATTTCTTACATTTTCTAGTATATTTAACTGAAATTAGATTAAGATTCAAATGCTATCCAATGCACTATTCCTGCTAATGGTGCTGATTTCAGCTGAAAGTGGTGTTTTTGCTCTCAGCTCCTCTGGGTCAGGAGGATGATGAAGGAGGTGGCATTCTTGTGTCTGCACTGTTTAACTTTATCACAAGTGCTTCACTGCTGCAGAGAGCAGAAGTTCACATACAAACATGCAGTCAGATGACAAACGCACACAAATTCTTTGCAGGCAAGGGAATGTGCCCAAGACCGTCTGATAATGGTGGAAAATCCTGATTCACGCACATTTTTAGCTGCTGTTTTACAAAATAGAAAATTATTCTTTAGTCTTACTAATTTATCATACGCTTGCATGTTTACCCTATGCACATTTTTTTTCCATCTGCGTGTGTAGGAAATAGAAAGGCCAAACAGTGTTAACTCCAATCTGATGTCCTCTGCTAAAATCTGTCTGCGACAGAAAACAGAAATCAAATTACAGCCAACAGGACACTGGAAACTCAAATTACAGAAGGAATTCTGTCTTATTATTTTATCAGGGAGCACAAGGTTTGTGGCAGACTTTGTTAGATTGTCTGCTCATCTGGGGGTTTTGTTGTGGTTTATTTTCTGAAACAACAAGCATGTATCTTCTATGTCTTCTCCTATTTCTGTCCTACATGATGCTTTAAATGGTGCACACACTAAAAATTACATTCACAACTCATTGTAATATTTTTTATATTTTCTATAGGATACTATAAATGTGATTTTTCTAACTTTTTGTCAGCTATATGCTTCTGCATCTGACTGTGATGTAACTGCTGAAGTTAAACAAGCTATTTTTTTTATTACTAATTAGTTTGGTATGAAAAGGAATCCGAGACAGACTGAAATTTATAGCTTTGAGGGAAATACTAAAGATAGAGCAAAATGGGCATAAAGAAAAAGAAGAGAACAAAAGAGAAGGTGCAGGAGCACACGAGACAGTAAGAAGACAAGCAGAGAGAGATAAGCCAGAAATGTGGAAGAAAGTTAGGGAGACAGCAAAGTTTTATGGCATGTTTTTATTCACTGTCTGTATAAATGACAGGAAAGCTGTGGAAGATTTTTATTCAATTCAGTTCAATCAAAGATACTTTATTAATCCCAGAGGGAAATTAGAGTTTCAGTACACACAATTCTGAGATCAGGCATACATACATAGGCATAGACACATGACAAGAATTGGTGACTGTGGTCATTCGCAACCTGAGTGGCGCTATCTTAATAGAGATCAGACGGTTTATATATGAGGATTGAGTCAGGTGGAGGAAAAAAAGGCACTTCAGAGTTACCCTCCACAGGGAGGGCAGCTTTGCTATGCAAAAAACACCTCAGACAGAAATGCAACAGACTTCAGACATTACACAACATAAGTGCCCACTAGGTGGGGAGGTAGGGTTGGGGACTTTCCGCACGTCAGTGCGTGCAGCCACGATAAGCGGCGCTCGTCACCTCCGTTTGGACGGGGGGGAAGTCGTAGGATTTAGAGGGCACAGTGACTCCTGGAATGAATCAGCGGCCTTCTCCGGTCGCAGTCCCACCCAGGCTGGGATAGGGAGGCAGAGTTGCCATGGCGACGGCAGCATTCTACATTTCTTCTGAGGGGGGAGTATTTGCTTCAGCTTCACAGGTTCAAGGGCACCAGATTCAGATAAGAAATTGTTTTGGGGCGAGAGATAATTTCCTCTCTGTCTTAGCGTTCCGTTGGTCCTCAACCCCTCTAAATCCAATAATGGCGTAATTAATCTATCCCAATCCACGCTGACCCATCAACTTTCTCCTTGATGGTATCCACCTTTTATGCCAGAGTCTGAATCTCAGCCAAAGTTCCAAGCTTACGATTCATCTCGACAATTATATGAGTCTGTAAGCTTACAGCGCGGTGTAATCCATCTCTGAGCTCCGGGAGCGAGCCAATATTCGACAGCTCCTTAATTTTCCGGTAAGCCAGGTAACCGTCATGGTGGGTGGCAATTTCTTGACCCACGACATGCAGAATCACAACACGGAGAGCAGGAATGTAAGTAAAAAGGCTTTATTACTAAATAAGGAGAAATGTAAGAGACGGGAACCGACGAGAGGCAGGACTGGCAGCAGGAATCCAGGATGAGATTCTAAGGAGGGAGACAGAGTGAATATAAGGTGGAAGACAAATGGGAACTTATCTGGAGACTGGTCTTACTGTTATTTGGTAGTGGTAACTGTACAGGAATGATTGTCTGGTCCGGGTGAGCTGAGGAGATCCAAAGGTAAGGTATTGGTTGTCCAGAGGTGGAGGAGCAGGAATGGATGTTGGTAGGTAAGCGGCTGAGAGTGGGCAGCCAGGGGATAAAGCAGTGTGTCAGGTAGACTGAGATCCGGGTTTGTTCTGGAGCTGGTGAGGGATTAAGAGGAACCTGGAGGAGAGCAGGAGAGGCTATTAAGAGGTTTTCAGGTGACAGGTTAACAAGAGCACAAATAAAAGTATCAAGGTCAGGTTGAGGCTAGAGCTACCCAAACAGCGTAATCATCTGGCGTGGTGAAGTGTCGCACTGCTCCTTAAATCCCCTGGGCCTTGATGAGGAGATCAGCTGCAGCTGGGAGCTCTCAGACACGCCCACCTGTGGAAACAATGTTTAGAGGAGAAAGCCAGGTTACAGGCAGTCAGCTCACCACGGACCATGACAGTAACCTCCCAGGCCAAAGAGCAGGAAACCTGACACCAACACCACGAATATCCAGACACTTCAGAATCCTCTACAGACGGTTGGGAGAAGCAGATCAGGTTCCACTGTTTCCAGGAGTCCATGATATGCCCAACTGGCTCTGTCCCAGAGGGGCACCTGGGAGCCCCTTCTCCCATTCTCATCGTTGAAAACATTTTGTCAGTCGCATTGAGAGACCAGCTGACCAGGTCTATTTTAGTAATTTCCAGTTTTCCAGAAAAAATGCCGAAGCGCCATACACCCAGAGACAGACAAAGAGTCTTCAGATAAGATAGGGAGGAGAGGAGTAAAAAAGCATCTGTACTCTCCAAGAGCCGGAAGAAATGTGGAAAAGTTCTACTGAAACAGGCTAACTGTTCTCTGGTATAAATTATAGTCAGAATAAGGGTAAATGTAAATCCTGATACTGTCATTAGAAACACACTGATAGCAGCCTTTAGATCAGGGGTGTCAAACTCAAACTCACACGGGGCCGAAATGAAAATCTGGGACGAAGTCGTGGGCCAAACTTAATATTTTTTGAAAAAGTGACGGCAAATTTGCACATTTTCTTTATCAACATATATGCAATTTTGAACCTTTTGATTTGGAAACAAGCTTATTTTTGCATTAACACTGAATGTGGAATAACCAAATACACACGAGCAAGTCAATTTTAAATAAAACGCATCAGTGGTATTCATTACTTGTGGTATATTCAGCATTTTAAAATCTATTCAGGATTTAAGTTTTCTTGTTTATTCATTTTTCTTT